TATAACCTGTGCTCCAGAAGTAGGTGGTATAGTTCAGTAGTACAGTGCTTGCCCAGCATGCACAAAACCCTGGCTTCAATCCCTAGTACCATAAATAATAAAAATAAGCTCAGTGGTAGAGCACTTGCCTTGCATGTGTGAGGCACTGGGTTCGATCCTCAGCACCACATAAAAAACAAATAAGTAAATAAAATAAAGGTATTATGTCCATCTACAACTAAAAAATATGGAAAATAAAAATTATGCTCTGCAAGCAGGGAATAGTTGTGCACAACTATAATTCCAGCAGCTTGGGAGGCTGAGGCAGGAGGATCTCAAGTTCAAAGTCAGCCTCAGCAACTTAGCAAGGTCATAAACAACTCAGTGAGACCCTGTCTCTAAATAAAACATAAAAAGGGACTGGAGATGTGGCTTAGTGGTTAAGTGCCGCTGAGTTCAACCCTGGTAGCATTAAAAAAGAAAGTTGTGCTCTGCAATGATTCTTAAATGCAACCACATGAGGAGGCATCAGTCCTTATGGATTAGGCTTAACTCTTCCCCAATCAGAGGAGCTTCATGCTTAACATTTTTATTTATACTCTGGATACGAATTTCACTGAAAAAGTTACTTGTCTGAAAATGTTTGAAAGGCATTGCTATAAGTAATGAAGAGTCAGAGAAATATGAGTTTGGCCTTAGTCATGTTGGTTCTAGGTAGGACATCAGGTAAAGAGGCACAGTAAACAGTTAGATACATAGTTCTGGGAAACAGGAGAGAAATGTCAACAGATCTAGATTTTACGTGTCATGAGCATGCAAGTATAATTGATGCCATAGAAGGGGTGAGAATACTCAAGGAGGATATAACAGAAAGGGGACAAAAATCAAGGTTCAAACCCTGGGAAATAGTAATACTTAAGGAGCAGGGAGAAGAAACAGAATCCAGAAAACTGAGAAGACCAAAGGAGGAGGAGAATCATGAGTAGCTTCACAGATATCAAAGAAGTTAATAGCATCAAGGAAGGCATGATAACAATGATAGGGTCAGAAAAGCATCCACTGAATTTGCAACTTGGGAAGTAAAAACAGAAAGGGGGTACTAAGTAATGGTAGTGTTTTGAGGGTTACTTTGGAATGGAGAGCCTTGGAGGTAGAAAGGAATAGGTTTCAGGGCATATGCTGAGCAGACTCCTCTATTTTCAGTAACTGGCACTTTTCTCCTGGATGAAAAGGAGGGAAGATCAGACTTCCACCATGGACAGTAGGGGAGAGGAGTGAGTGGGTTCTTGGAAAGACTGCTTGTGATTACAGCAGGAACTAAATTAATCAAGGATTACCCTGGCTTTTTGACAAATTCTAAGAACTCTATAGCCTAACAGTCACTTGGTCAGAGTAGAGCAGCCTGAGCACTTCCTGGCACTAAGGCTTTCTCACCTCTAGGATCAGACTGATTGGATTACATAGTTTCTACTTCACTCTAGGGTCACCCAGTAGTTCTCTGACTAGTGGTGAGGACATCTACCTTATGATATCATAGGAGCCTGTGGCCTAGTTGTATTAGGTTAGTTTATGTACTAACTAAATAATACATATTAACTTAAGATAGATACAAAATGCTATTATATAATTATTCATATTATTGCTAGATATAAGTATATACAATCAATATTTTAGTGATCCTAAAGATAGTCAGTATTTTCAAAATCATAATGTAAATAATGGTGGAAGACAGACATAAGAAAATAGGCCGGGCGTGGTGGTGCACACCTGTAATCTCAGCAGTTAGGGAGGCTGAGGCAGGAGGATCACAAGTTCAAAGCCAGCCTCAGCAACTTAGTGAGGCACTTAGCAACTCAGCAAGACCCTGTCTCTAAATGAAATACAAAAATGGGCTGGGGATGAGACTCAGTGGTTAAGCACCCTGGGTTCAATCCTCAGTACCAAAACAAACAAACAAACAGAAAACATAAGAAAATGGATTATCCTTAAATAGAAAGTGTTATTTATAAACCTTCCCACATACCATAATGGACTATTTACCCAATGTTTCCTGGAGGCCTTCCTTTGCAAATTTCATCAATTTTATGATCTGTATTCCCATTTGCACCTTGTATATAACCTATTTTTCTCTTCAGCTGCTCAATTCTAGAAGCCCTGTTGTTATAATGGTGCTGAGGTCTGACTGGTTACTGAAATCACCTACTGGTGGGCTAACAATAATTTGGTTTCTTAAACATAACTAGATGCCAGCCTATAGCTTTTTCCTATATAACACTAGAATATAAGCTCCATATGTTCTTTACTTGTTTACTGGTTGTACTGGGTTGAACAGTATTCCTTTAAAATTTGTGTCCTTCTAGGAACCTCAAAATATGATCTTATTTAGAAACAGAGTTATTGCAGATACAAGCAGTGAAGATGAGGTCAGAGGGTTGGGGGTATAAAGAGGTGGCAGAGTGCTTGCCTAGCAGGCACAAGGCACTGTGTACATTGTACAGCACCACAAAACAAAACCAAAAAAGACAAGGTTAGCTGGGTGCAGTAGAACATGCCTGTAATCTCAGCAACTCAGGAGGCTGAGGCAGAAGGATCACAAGTTCAAGGCCAACCTTAGCAATTTAGTGTGGATCTAAGCAACTTAGAGAAACCCTGTCTCAAAACATAAAAACGCTAGCCAGGCGCGGTGGCACGCGCATGTAATCCCAGTGGCTCGGGAGGCTGAGACAGGAGGATCGCGAGTGCAAAGCCAGCCTCAGCAACAGTAAGGTGCTAAGCAACTCAGTGAGACCCTGTCTCTAAATAAAATACAAAATAGGGCTGGGGATGTGGCTTAGTGGTTGAGTGCCCCTGAGGTCCGTCCCCAGTACTAAAAAATTAATAAATAAGTAAAATAAAAAAGCTGCTGGGCACACTGGCACATGCCTGTAATCCCAGCAGCTCAGGAGGCTGAGGCAGGAGGATTGTGAGTTCAAAGCCAGCCTCAGCAACTTAGTGAGGCCCTAAGCCACTCAGTGAGACCCTGTCTCTAAATAAAATACAAAAAAAGGCTAGGGATGTGGCTTTGTAGCAAAGTGCCCTTGGGTTCAATCCTCAGTACCAAAAAAATAAAAATAAAAAGGCTGAGGATTGTAGCTCATTCGTAGACCACCCTAAAGAAAATGAGGTTAGAGTAGAATAGGATGGGCCCTTAATTCAATATGACCGGTACCCTTATAAAGAAGATGACACTAGAAAAATACCACATGATGATGCAAGGCAGATACTGGAGTGACACAGTTAGAAGCCAAGGAAGGGCTAGGCTGTGGCTCAGTGGTAGAGCACTTGCCTAGCACATGTGAGGCCCTGGGTTCAATCCTCAGCACCACATAAAAAATAAGCAAATAAAATAAAGATATTTAAAAAAAAGAACACTACAAAAAAAAAAAAAAGAAGAAGAAGTCAAGGAACATTAAGGAGTGCTAGCAAAAACCAGAAGCTAAGAAGGGGCAAGAAGCTAGAATCTTCAGAGAGAACATGACCCTACAGACACCTGTGGACTTCTTTTTTTAAAGAGAGAGAGAGAGAGAATTTTTAATATTTATTTTTCAGTTTTCGGCGGACACAACATCTTTGTTTGTATGTGGTGCTGAGGATCGAACCCAGGCCGCATGCATGCCAGGCGAGTGCGCTACCGCTTGAGCCCACCTTGTGGACTTCTAGCCTCTAAAACTATGAGACAATTAATTCCTGTTGTTTAAAGCCACCCAGTTTGTGATATTTTATTATGGTAGCTCTAGCATTCTAATATAGTGGGATATTCCAGGCTTCTAGGACAGTACCTGGCACACAAAAGGAGCTCAAAAGGAATATTTAATGAACAAATGCATGGACTTAATTCCCTAGGATTGACCTCTCAGTGCCATTTGGCACCTCTTTATAATGGGCACCCCCACACCTGATGAACACACATACATACTTGTTAAAACTCTCCTCTCTTGTTTTACACATCACTACTTTCTTCTTGTTCAGTAGTTCCAATTCTTTTATTTTTTTTTTTCCAGTACCGGGGATTGAACCCAGGGTCACTAACCACTGAGCCACATCTCCAGCCTTTTTTATTTAGAGACAGGGTCTCACTAAGTTGCTTAGAGCCTCACTCAGCTGCTAAACTCACAATCCTCCTGCCTCAGCCTCCTGAGCCGCTAGGATTACAAGCATGCACCACTACACCTGGATAGTTCCAATTCTTTAATGTGCTTTGTAAACCTTCATTCCTCTCTTCTTGCTCCACATTCTTTTCATGTAACTTTATCCCTAATGCAGGCTTCAATTTCCCATATATATCAAGAATTCCCCAATCTAAAACAGATATAACCATGTCACTACTCTGCTTAAAAAATGGAGACTGGCTCTTCATTGCCTGCCTATAAATCAAAGTATAATCTTGTCCCCTTTAGCACAGTACTCTGTTCTCACCCCAGTATGCATGAACCCCTTTCTGTAAAATAACCTCTGCTCTGGCCACAAAGGACTATTCAGACTTCTCAGGTACACCATGTTTAATGCTTTCAGTGCCTCTAGATTCCCTCCACCTGGAATGTTCCTAATCCCCCTCATCTACCTGATGAAATCCTAGTTCAGGCCAACCACAAATGCCACTATCTTTTGAAGCCTTTCCCATAACCTTCTGTTTATAACACCAGAGCTATTACCTCTTTAATGTTATAGATGGTAGTTTATTCATTCACAGATCCAGTACCTAGCTCAATGCCTGGCATGTGGCGCACTCCAAAAAATTACAGGTTGAATGAATTCAAACCTGTCAAATTTCAGCTATCAAATGGCAGTAGAATCAAATCTCAGCACTACTTCACCAAAGCACAATGAAGATTTTGCTGCACTAACAGAATTTAGAAAACTACCACAAATGTCAAAGAATTGGGCCCAAATAGATGAGCAGCTCAACATTAGATGAATATGTACTCTTCAGAAACAGACCCTGACACAAGAGCAAAATACTAGACAGAGCATCAACCCCTTACCTCCGAAGATACATAGTCTCCTCATCTTCTGTATTACAAAATTTGTGAGCATGTTTGGCAGCATCAATCACACGGGATCTGTCCCGGGGCCTCATGGGCAATTTCTCTAACTGACAATCTGAAAGAATGAAGAAAGATTTGGTCAGTAGAGTCACTGAAAAAGTTTTCAGTGGCAGCTGTAGCACTATAACTTTTACTATAATTACTCCGCTGATGGAAGCTTCCAACTAAAAACGACTTGGTGCCAGGAAAACCTTGGTTTTGGCCCCAGCTCTGTTGTTACCCTGATCATCTTTGGCAAATCACTTCCCACTTCAGGGACTTTTTCTTCATTGAAAGATCAGTGCACTGGGAAGAGGCTGATGTCTGATGTCAACCATATGTTCCTGCCTTGCACCCCAAGAGGTTTTACTATTTTTAATTAGTGAAAATATGTAACATTAACAATTATCTACTGGTTCAGATGGTTGACACTTTTCCCTATTTTCCTCACTTTATGGAAGACTCAAATAAAAGAACATTTATAAAACCAAAGGACAAAAGGGGGTTGTTACTTTAAAATTATATCAATTTTTTCCCTCTAGGTGTAAAAATACTCATTCTTTTAAAAGTGTTCTTTTAAAAATCCCCCTTCCTGGGGCTGAGGTTGTGGCTCAGCGGTAGAGCACTTACCTAGCACATGTGAGGCCCTGGGTTTGATCCTCAGCACCACATAAAAATAAATAAATAAAATAAAGGTAGTCTGGCAACTACAACTAAAAAATATTTTGAAAAATCCCCCTTCCAGGGGCTAGGGCTGTAGCTCAGTGGTAATGCACCTGCCTCTCACATGTGAGGCACTGGGTTTAATCCTCAGTACCACATAAAAATAAATATTTTAAAAATTCCCCTTTCCTCCCCTCAAGTCAGCTTTTGTGCTCCCGAAAATTTTCTATTTCATAAGTCTGATCATAAAACCCTAAGTATTAAAATAATTTGTACTTGTAGAGAGAAAAATTACTTTTTCAAAATATACAGGGGCAGCTGCTAAATTGATGTATTATATATTGTGGTTTCTGTTTCTTGAAAAAAAAATCATTAATTTTACATCTAAAAAAGGAAAAACAATTTAAAAAGAGGGTAAGAAACAATTCCAGTGGGATGATTTTAACTTGTGAAATGTCCCTGGGATTTTTTCTTTGCTTGCTTTCTTTCACCTTACCATGCCCCGCCTCCCAATACACATATACACTTTCTGTAAAACTTGAAAATAGAAAGCAAAAACCCTCTACTGTTGTAAATCATGCAATTAAAGCTGATTACTTATAAATATGAACTTTGGGTCACTGTATACACTGTTAAAATTAGATTTATTATTACATATTGTTAAATAAACTGTGAGAAAGACACACACACAAAAATAAAAATTAAAAAAAACTGCCAGATGTGATGGCACATGCCTGTAATCCCAGAGACTCACAAGGCTGAGACAAGAGTATCACAAGTTCAAGGCCAGCCTCAGCAACTTAGTGAAGCCCTAAGCAACTTAGGGCTTGTTTCAAATTTAAAAAATTAAAAATGCTGGGGGCTGTGGCTCAGTGGTTAAGTGCCCCTGGATTCAATCCCCAGTACCCTTCCAAAAAAAAAAAAAAAAAAAAACCTTCCCAACACTGCAACTCAAGTTCCTATGTGTATTTCTGTGATTACAGTACACTTGGTTTGTGCTACAATTTATTAGAGTTAGAAGAGTCAACCAAGTATCCAAGCCTATGAGGAAGGCAATGGGAAAAGTGGGTAAGTGTTAAGGAGAAAGTTATATATATGCAAATGACCCATCCTAGTTGGAGGAGGTTAATCTGAAAACAAATATGAAATAAAACAGGTACAGTTATAAAGCAGATAGAAATGAATATAATGCAAGTCTAAAGGTCCACAGAGGAAGTCAAGCATCAAAGTGATTTGAGATTAATGGAGAAAGTGAAGAGAATTAGAGAACAGTAGGCAGTTTACACATTAGCTTGTTCACTCCTCTCAGTGAATGAATTACAGTATCACCATTGCAACAGGGAACACTATAATCAGGGCAATTGTAGAGCAGCGGGCAGGAGATCATGAATTCAATTCTAAACATGATAAATATATCATTATGTCCATTAGACATCCGAGTGGAGATATTGAATAGGTAAGTGGAGCTTAAGGAGAGGTTCAGGTTAAAGATGAACATCTGGGAAGTATCAGCAAATAAGTGGTTTTGAAAGCTGGGGTCTGGTTGAGATCACTGAGGGAGTGAGTACAGACTGTCGGCTAGATACCGAGCTCTAACGCCTTGAAATCTCTAAAAGTCTGAGAGGGAAAAAGGAGCTAGACTCTGAGAAGGGACAACATTTGAGGTAGGAGAAAAATCAGGAGTGTGTAGAGTCTTGGAAGTAAATAAAGAATATGTCACGAGAAAAATGGCATGATCATATGTTTCAGATGCCACTGACAGGGTGATTAATTAACATGAAGATAATTAGCCACCAGAATGGTATCACAGTGTTTAGCAGTAAGCTTAACAAACACGGTTTTGAAGGTGAGGGGTGGGAAGGAAAGTCTAACGGAAGTGGGTGGAGACAACCAATATAGACAACTCTTTTTTTTTCCCCCGCAGTTGTCAATAGACCTTTATTTTATTTATTGATTGATATGTGGTGCAGAGAATCGAACCCAGTGCCTCACACATGCTGGGCAAGCACTCTACCACTGAGCCACAACCCCAGTCTTTAGGCAAGTCTTTTGATAGGTTTTGCTACAAAAGCAGCATAGGGGTGGGGTTATAGGTGGAGGGAAATGTAGAATCAAGGAGGGCTTTATTTTTATTTATTCTAAGACGACAGCATCTTTGTATCCAGCAGAAAATCACAAAGTATTTGGAGTGAATTGAGGGGGGAGATTGTGTGTGTGTGTGTATGTGTGTATGTGTTTTAACAAGGAGTTTAGAGGGAGGTCTGTAGACATTGTCACAAGGTTAAGCAGAAAACGAAACAAAAAAAAAACGTCAAGAGTGGAGAAAGAATGTGTAGGGAGGATTCTGACGGTAAGGGAAAAGCCACTAAACTTCAGTGAGAGGTGGCGCCCAGATGACAGCCGGAGGAAATTCACCTTCAAGGACCCACAGACTAAGCCGGGTGCGAGCGCCCGCCTGTAATCCAGCGACTGGGGAGGTAGAGGCAGGAGGGTTACAAATTCCAGGCCAGACTGGGCAACTTGACGAGATCCTATCTCAAAATAAACTGGACTGAAAAATATATACATAAAAAAAACTGGACTGGAGATACAGCTCAGTGATAAATCGCCCGTGGGTTCAATCCCCAGTACCCACCGGCTTCCCTCAAAAAGAACCTGCAGTGAAGCATTGGGTTCGATCCTCAGCAACACATAAATATAAAGATTTTTTTTTTTAAATTTTTAAAAAAGAACCCACAGACTCGCTCCTTGCAGACGCCTTCCAGTTCGCGACTACTCACCTAGAACCAGGACCATCTGGCCGCACAAACAATAGTAGACGTGGAGAGGCTTCTCGCCGTCGTCATATTCCTCGCGGTCCCGGGTGTCGGAGCAGACAACCGACCGGGACACGACTTTAGGCATAGTTCCCAGAGGCGGCTAGATACCTCAAAGACAACGAAGAAAGTAGCGCAGAAATGACGTCACAAGCGCGCCGCACCTTTTCTCTCCAAGCAACGTTGAGTCACGTGTCAGTAGTAGTCTCAAGAACTTCCGGGCTGTCCCATCAGGCTAAGATTCCCGGGGGCTCACTCCCAGACTCCCAGAACTTCCTTCACCTCGGCTAAGTTAGCTGGGACTGCTTTAGTTGTGACATCTTCAGTATTATTTAAATCATTTATTTAAATTTCTATATGCTCATGGATATTTAAATTATACATGTGTGTGTGTGTATATATATATATATATATATCCTGATATAAAAAGGACTGTACATTACACATTATATATGCATAATACAGATTTTTAGGTGTGTCTTTATGATTTTTTTCTTTAATGGTACTGTTCAGGATGAGTACCTAATGAAGCATATTTTCATTATTAGATATGATTCTTCATTCTTGGGGGCTGGGGTTGTGGCTCAGTGGTAGCAGGCTCGCCTAACACATTCGAGGCCCTGGGTTCGATCCTCAGCACCACATAAAAATAAAATGAAGATAAAAAAAATTCATTCTTTATATTCATAAAGTTGTTCAACCATCATTATCTAATTAATTCCAGAACATTTTCATCATCTCAAACTATATTATTAATACCTATTAATAGTCACTGCCTGCCTCCTTCCCAGTCCCTGGCAAACACTAGTCTACTATCCTATGGATTTTCCTATTCTAGTATTTTATATAAATTGAATTATATAACATGTGATCATTTGTCTGGCTTCTTTTGCTTAGCATGTTTTCAAGTTTAATCCATATTGTATGACTTCATGTCTTTTCATGGTTCAATAATATTTCATGACATGGATATACCATATTTTGTTTATACATTCATCAGTTAATGAATATTTACCTTGTTTACATTTTTGGCTGTTATAGATAATGCTGCTATGAATATTCATATATAAATTTTTGCAAGGACTACTGTTTTCCATTCTTTTAGGTGTGTACATAAGAGTCAAATTACTGGCTCAGAGAGTAAGTGTGCATGTAAATTTTGGGGCGGGAGAGGAGGTAACGGACTAAACCCAGTGGCACTTAAACACTGAGCCATTCCGTCTCCCTAAGTTGCTTAGGGCCTCGCTAATTTTCTGAGGCTGGCTTTGAACCTGCAATCCTCCTGTCTCAGCCTCCCAAGCCACAGGGATTACATGCATGTGCCACAGTGCCTGGCTACATGTAAATTTTTGAGAAACTACTAGAGGGCTTTTAAAAGCAATTGCACAGTTTTACTTCCCTACCAGCAAAGTATGAAAGTTCTAATTTCTCCATATCTTTGCCAATAATTTTTACCATCTTTGTTATTATAGCTATCTTAATATTTCTTTTTTAAATATTTTTTAGTTATTGAGAGACCTTTTCATTTATTTATATGTGGTACTGAGAATTGAACCCACTGCCTCACACATGCCAGGCAAGTGTGCTGCTGCTGAGCCACAGCCACAGCCCACTATCTTGGTATTAATTTGCAGCTTTGATTTTCACTTACCTGATGGCTAATGATGTTGAGCATCTTTTCATGGCCTTATTGAGCATCTATATGTCATCTTTGGGAGAATATCCATTCAAATCCTTGACACATTTTAATTGGGTTGTCAGTTTATTGTTGAGATGTAGGAGTTATTTATATATTGTGTATACTAGACCCTAAGCATGTAAATTATTTGAAAGTAGAGGAATCTTAACAGTCCTATTTGCCCCCAGGTAAAAGGGAACATCATCCACCCTTTCTTCTCCAACCCAGAAACTCTTCCCTGAATTCCTTTTGTGGATAACAGGAACCTGGGGGATATTCCAGTATAAGTAAATTCAGACAATCTATGTTGGATAACTTCAATAATCCAAGTGATGGCACCAGAATAGTGGATTTTTAAGACAAATATTACTAAAGACAGCAGGAATTTGTGGCTAGAAAGACAGAAGATGTAAACCAATGGAAATTTAAAACTCTTGAATAAACATAAGAGAAACCCATTTAAGCCTTAGAGAATCACAGTGTTTTCTACTTGGGTTTTAGTCCAGGTTCATCCCTATGATTATATTATTGAATATTATTGATCTTCTACTATGTATCAGGTACTGTGCTTTATACTGGTTGTAAGTGATAAATAACACATAGTCTTACCTGTGGCTTAGTCTAGTGCAGGGTGGGCAAACTTTTCCTGAAAAGGTACTACCCCTTGGTATGAGAGCCAAGAAACAAAATAATTTCCACAAGTGTTTTATTGACAGAATTAAAAATACAATGTTAGCGCTTGTTAACAATTTAATTAACAATGTTAATTTTTTTTTTGTAATAAAGATCTACTAGTGAGAAGAGGGGAATAATCTTTCACCTACTGTTCAAAGTGAGTGTTCTCAATCATTAAATCCTTCTGATGACAGAAGCCCAGTCTGGAGTGATGTAGTCACCAGCCAAGGACATAATAGATTATGATAGTAGAAGTTGGCAGAGGCAAAAAATAGATTTTCCTCTGGAGTCAGTTGCAAATATTAATCTGTTAAAGTTTATTTGTAACAACATTTCTGTATTTCATCTTTGAATTTTTTTCACACAAATAAATACTGCCCTATACTGATATCAGTTCCCAAGTCTATGATTTCGAGCATATTCATAGAAGGCATTTATAGAATTCCATTAGAGTATTCTCTTGACCAAAATTGCCTTTTACTATGTCCTTGCATTGAAGATTAATCACTTCCAATTGAAGTTTAGGTAAAAGATCTTCAGTTGAAGTTAAATTGATTTTGAAATACAGAATTTCCTTTGCACTTGCACCAAGTCTGAAAAACACTGTTGGAACTTTAATTCGAGCTCAAGAAATATACTTACTGTAAATTTCTGTAGGAATAAAAAATCTTGATTGTTGTTTTTTAACTTTTGACAGCACAAGAATCAATAAAAGCAAATGATGTTTCTTGTGATTCAATGTTAGTTGTCATTGAATAACTTCTGCAATATAAGTGTCACATATAAGCACTGTTTTGTTAGGTTAAATCCATTAAGAAACATCGTTAAGTCTATAGCAAAAGCTAATTTCAAAAAACTGTTCAATAATAGTGTCAGGGGTGGTTTTTCTCATCCTGAAATTTTTTTTACATATTTTTTAGTTGTAGATGGACACAATATCTTTATTTTATTTATTTACTTTTTATGTGGTGCTCAGGATCAAATCCTGTGCCTCATACTTGCTAGGCAAGCATTCTACCACTGAGCAACACAGCCCCAGCTCCTCATCCTGAAAATGTTTAATCTGAGGTCTTAGTTCCTATAAATCTCAATAGAACTTTACCACTATTAAGCTATTGAAATGCTATGGGGAGGGCAAATCAGAAATATTCAACGTCTAGACAGGCACGGGCATGCATTCCAGCAATTTGGGAGACTGAGGCAGGAGGACTGCAAGTTCAAAGCAAGGCTCAGCAATTTAGCAAGGCTCTAAGCAACTTAACAAGACCCTGTCTCAAAATAAAAAATAAAAAGGGCTGGAGGTGTCGCTCAGTGTTTAAGTGGTTAGGTTCAATCCCCAGTACCAAGAAAAAGAGGGTAGGGGGAGAGAAATATTCAAGCTTTCAAGTTCTAGTTGTGGGTAAATTAAGAATCAGGAGATAGGGAAAATATCCCAGATTAAGTGGGTGGGCCTGATGCAGCAACACTGATCCTTGCAAGAGGGATGAAGTTAGTCAGGGTTCACAGAAAAAGCCATGTGATGACAGAAGCCCAGTCTGGAGTGATGCAGTCACCAGCCAAGGACATAATAGATTATGATAGTAGAAGCTGGCAGAGGCAAAAAATAGATTTTCCTCTGGAGTCTCTAGAAGCAACCAGGCCAGTCAATGAGTTTGGTTTTAGACTTCTGAGGTCCAAAACTCCAAGAGAATAAATTTGTATTCTCTCAAGCCACTAAATTTGTGATAATTTGTTATAACACTGTAACAAATATAAAACTATATCTACAAAAGCTACAGTGTTGTGCATTGGAATTCTATCAAAGCAGCCACAGACCAGGGAACTACAACTATTATAGTCTGTTATAAGATACTGTTTTTAATTTTCTGATTCTTTTAGTCTTTTTTTCTTTTTTCCTTTTCCTTAATTTGTAGTTTTTCTAACCATTGCTCTGTTATGAATTTGGAATATTGTGACAAGTGTGTAGTCCCGTAATATCAATGCACATTGTGATATGTTTAGCAATGCTACAGTATCATTGTGTATCTAATTAACATCTAATTCCATAACCAATTAATCCACATTCCAGCGTACCTCAAAAATGTGACATTCAAGGGCTGGGGTTGTGGCTCAGTGGTAAAGTGCTTTCCTAGCATGTGTGAGGCACTGGGTTCAATTCTCAGCACCACATAAAAATAAAAAATAAAATTTCATCCACAACTAATATATGGCATTCAAAGTCCACTTTTATCTCCTTGTGTTTTATTGATTGATTGATTGATTGCAGCACTGGTGATTGAACATGATGCACTTTACCACTGAGCTACATCTCCATCCCTTTTTAGTTTGAGACAGGGTCTTGCTACATTGCTGAGGATGGTCTCAAACTTGAGGTCCTTCTGCCTTAGCCTTCCAAATTGCTGGTATTAGAGGTGTGCGCCACTGCATCCAGCTTAATCTTCTTGTGTTAATGGGATATGTATGCACTTGTAACTTAAAAAAAATGCAGTGATGTGACAATAAATGTGACACTCAAAATGTCCTCGAGTTTTACTATATCACTGCAGTTTGTAGTGCATTGGGCAATACATGGTCACAACTACTCAGCTCTGCTATTATAGCACAAACGCAGCCACAGACAGAATATCAATGAACAAGCATGGCTGCATCCCAGTGAAACTTTCTTAATGTACATTGATATTTGAATTTTATGTAATTTTCATGTATCATGAAATATTATTAAATACTATTCTTCATTTGATTTGTTTCAACCATTTCTTAGCTTGCAG